TCCACAGCTCAGGCGGGTGCCAGAAATTTCTGGCTGATAGGGGTCGCTCGATTCGCAAAATGGCGGCGGCCAGAGCGCTCTTTTTGCAAAGGTCTATATATGCCCCCTCCACCCTCATGACAGGTTTCATCCAGTCCATAAGTCGACTTCTGGTCGATCATATACTATATGTATATGCCCTGACATGTTGCGACACCAGGATACCTGTGTATGATTCTTCAGCAGTGTAATTGCATTCATCAACTCAACTCGGCGCATAGTTGGCATGGTTCTTACATATATACCTCAATACGTCTCTAAAGTTTGTGTTTCCAGCCTTGACGTTGAGACCGGCTGGTCGAAGGAATCGACGAATCAATGCGTTAGTCGAACGCGTACTATGACATATTTATTTCTGATCCTAGGCGAGGAAAAGAACGAGGAAGCGGGCACTCAGCGTGAAAATCGCATCTTGATTATAGTTATAAATCACGAGTCGTGAGATCGTAGTCGTGACTTATTCTCGTCGTTGCGTGTTTCGATTCCCGCGAATTCCCACATCGTGCGCGTTCATAACTTAGTTTCCGTACATAAAACACGTCTAGTGTCTGCTGATTGGGCCATTAATTGGTGTTCATTTGCTTACTAGATTCGCCTATGAGCGTGTCTAATACATGGCAGCGTATTCGTAAACAAACGGCAAAAAATTATTTCATTCATTTATTTACATTGTCATATAAGCATTATTGAAGTGCGTTATTCGACGTATTCTGACAGCGGAAAAAGAAAACTTCATTGTCACCAATGCACACAATCTCTTCCGGAATGAATTGTTTAACTCTCTGTTCGTTTTAACAAAAAGTGTGTGCAAAACAGTTTGTGGTGTATTACAGGGGCAGAAGACAGGACAAATATCAAATTTACTGAAGAGAAAATGACCTTAGTAAAGCGTTATTTTCAAAACGGTTCTTTTTATTAATCATGGACGATCCTACAACTGCGCAGTTCGTCCGATTGATATAAATTTTACTGTGCGTGTAAGTATATTTGCCTTTTTGCAGGGCCCGGCTGGTTGCTATACATTTCGAAAATAATTAGATTTTGCTCGTTGTAATACACGTTGTTGAGCCAGTGTTGTATTGTTTAGCACGCGTATTTGATATTTTGTTCCTCCTGAAAGCCCTCCTATACAAGAAAATAAAACAAAAACAAAACAGGTTCAGTCATTTTTCTTACGTTTTCAGAAACAGGCATAGGACCTGATAATTATTTCCTGCCCTAACGCTTGGAAGCTGGGCATTGGTAATATTTATTTTGTTATATCGCCCGTTCGCAGAATTAAAAACAAAATAATAAAAGAATTTACGTTTTGTAAAAAAAAAAAAAAATAAACTGCCTGTATTTTTTAGAAATAAAACGTGAAATGATTTGCAGGCACTTGTTCATTGCTTTTTAGAATGTATCCTCGACGTTCAACATATAAAAATCTCTGATAATTTTTCAATTAGATAACAGTATAAGTTCTGAAACTTCGACGTCTGGTCCGAACCGCTAGCGGTATATACCCAGGCAGAGACTGAGTTTATTTTTGCGGTGAGAAAAACACGGTTCTTTTTTTCCCAAACATCCGGTAGGTTATTAAAGAAACTGTGCGGCGAAATATATTTATTCTTGGAAAGGTTCGGTCGTTCGCAGCTCCCACAGGGCAGTGGACTTCCAACTTCGTTCCTGCAGCACGAGCTGTCTGCCTTCAAAGCAGCCTTGCCCATACCGGCACATCGAGTAACGAGGCGCTGAAGCAGCATTGCAAAGACTCTTTACGTTGTAAATATCAATGTATTTCGGTGGTCTGTTCCGGACGGACGTTCAAACGATGATTATTATTAAGAATGAATTATTATTATTATTAAGAAACTTTATTTTCCATTTCGATACATGAATGGAGGAAACAATTGAAAAAAGCTTTGAGTACAGCTTGACGGATCCCCTTGCTCCCTTCTAGTGACAGAAGTCAAAACAAAAAGCAACAGCGAAAAACATTGAGAAAGCCAACATAGCAAAGTAAAATATAAAAATCAAACAGGTCTCATAAATCGATTCATTCGTTTTCGCCCCACATTCGTTCAGTACGTAATTCCTGAATTCCAATAGAGACGATATCAATGATATTTTTATAGGGTGTTCAAAATAGTAGGAAGTCTGTACTTGAGTGATTGCATTGAAAAGTTGTTATGACACAGTGGCACAGTCAAATGTTCCTCCGAACGAGTTGGGTAGGAAGTCGCGTGTTCTTTTAGCTCCGCAAAGTTGACTGAACTATCCCCATTTCTTTTATTTTCTAGCTTAAAACTGATCGCGAGTCTATACTTGTAAATGTTGTAAACAGGAAGTATACTATTTTTTTATGAAGAAACCCTGGGTACTAGAGTCGTAAGAAATTGGTGTTGTGTGTATGTTTGTACAGCCTAGAACTTGGTCTGCCTCACCGGGCGACGAGTCTCCCAGCCGTAGATGAGAAATTTAGCCAGCGCAGTACAGCCGCTAGCCTGGTGTCTTACCGCACGCCGGTACGATGCTCATCCAGATAAAAACGGGCAGGGGTGAGGACTGAACCCAGGATCCCTGGGTTCTGCAGCGCGAGTTTTTCGCTTCACCTGCTCCGAGCTGGTGTGCGCTGTCGTAAGAAACATTCTCGATGAGGTGTACATTTTTTTTTCTCTTATGCAATAGGAGTATTTTTTGGAGATTTGTGGGGGTGCTTGTGCCCCAAACTAAATAACAATAATTCAGGTGAGAAAGAAATAAAGTCTGGTATAAAGAAACTTAACATCTCTCGGTAGAATAAAACGGTTAGGAGAGACTAGTTCAAAGACCTTTGACAATCTAGTGCGTAAATCATTTACATGATTATCCCAAGATAGGTACTGATCGAAAATTACACCTAAACTCTTAAAATTATCGACAATATCTATATACTTTTCATTTAAGACAAGGGTCTTGGTTGTAGAAACATTTTTGTTTTTAGGCCGAAAGATGATTGCCTTCGTTTTACTCGCATTGATGTTTAGCGCGTTATCTGTGGACCATTTTTGCAACGCTGTTAGGGTCACGTTTGCGCAGCTGCTCGTCGCCAGTCTCGCCAGAAAACAAGAGGTTCGTGTCATCCGCGTATATTACAAATTTAGTCAGTGGATTTATGTTTACAATATCATTAATGTATATATTAAACAATAACGGCCCTAATATGCTTTCTTGTGGTACACCGGATATAATTCTCTTTGTTGGGGACGCGAAACCATTAAGATGGACAAACTGTTTACGGTGACCTAAATATGATTTAAGCAAGAGAAGTGCTTGACCTCGAATTCCGTAAATATCAAACTTGTCTAGCAGTAAATCATGATTGATATAATCAAACCCCTTTGTAAAGTCTACAAAAATGACAAGGGCCAATTTATTTCTCAGAAAACTCCGTAAAATAAATTATTTTTGTTCAAGCAATGCAAGTTCCTTTGATCGATTCTTTCGAAAGCCGAACTGAGCATTAGTAATTGTTTGGTACTTATCCAAAAACTGAGGTACACGAATATATATGATTTTTCTAAGCCGTTTGAGAATACCGGAAGGACAGAAATAGGCCTGTAATTGCTTATGACGTTCTTATCTCCCTTTCTGTACAGCACAGGCACTTTAGCTGTTTTGCATAAGTTGCCGAAATACACCGATTGAAAGACAGAAGTTAAAAATATGAGTATACAGGGAGTGATCAAAGGTAAAACATACTTGACTGGTCTAATGTGCATATCATCCGCATCACAACTATGACTGTGATTTAATTCCATAAAAATCGTAAACACCTCTGCGTCTGTGACTGGACGTAAAAAAAATAGAGTCGCTGTTTCTAAACCTGACATTTTCACATGCGTCGCCGCTATAACTACGTTGAGATAGATGTATGAAATAGTCATTAAATACCGGCAGAAGAATTGCTTTCTACGTCATTGGAGCTACCACACCCGACAACCGCATTTACCGCGGCCTGCTACTGAAGATCTACGAGATTCATGATAGTAACATTCCCTGGCCTTTTTCAAGTCCTTTGTTAGTTGATTGCGATAATTTTTAAATGTCTTGAGGTCATTGGGATCTCTAGTCTTCGTAAACTTTTTATAGAAAGCGTTTTTAATATTTATTCTTCCAAGTAAGTCAACCGTTACCCAAGGTAACGGTTGACTTACTCGGTGGAAAAATATAATAAAAAGTTTGAGCGATGAGGGTTTCGAGTCCTAGCTGGAGAAACACCGATTTCCAAAAATCGGTGTTTGCAGGATTTTGACTGGTTTTGTGAAACAAACATTTATTTATCGGTGATTTTCTGTTTTATCCGATTTTGTACATTATACAGCAACGGGCGTTTACCGGTGTCCACGGTCGTTGACTATAACGTCCTTAGGTTGTTACGACTTGCAACAACTCGCACTTATTTCTTGACTATCCGTATAATATCCGACGGATATGTAGGCACTAATTTCCGAGTGGGTTCACACCCCATTCGTGCTGCAGGCTCGCACTATTTTTGCTGGAATAAGATCTGGAAGGTGCGTGTGTTTTTGTAGACACGGATTTTGTCTCAGCTTGAAGTATGCAAGGGCAGGAGATGTGGGACAACGCAACGGTGTAACGGTTTCTCGTTTTTTTCTTTTTCTTTTTTATTCGATTTTATTTTTAACGAAACTTTCTCGTAAATACCGTTCCTAAAGTAATAAAAAATAAAGAACAGGAACCAGTATGGTCGGGGAAGAAAAAGGTCAGACTTCTTGAATATGTTACTTGAGTCTGCTGGGGAGGAGTGTAAAACCGGCCACAGCTGGGAAAATAACGTTTCAGAGTTCCAGTTTCGAGTGAATGAGACAAGTCAACAAAAGCTGATAGAGCAAACTCCAAAGAAGGCCTGTCAAACTTCGTATTGACCCGAGGGTCTTTCGAGGAAGTAACTGGAGTAAATTATTTTTTCTTGACAGGATAATCGCCAAGACACGTGACGGGGTGCCAAGCACGATAGGAAACCAGAAGCGCACAAAGGAAGGCTTAGTTTGTGCGTATATGTTTTTGTTTTGCTTTGTGTTTGTGTGTATGCTTGTGTGTTTCGTACTTTCTGTTTGCGTGTGTTTTGTTTGTGTGTGTGTTTGAGAGAGAGCGAGAGAGAGTGTGTGTCCCAGAATATTAACTGGACCTGCACCAATAAAATGCGCAGCAAAAGAAAAACAAATTCAGAACCAATATTACGTACACAATAATTATTGCTTGAGTAGCCGATCGAAGTTTGTAGAGCGCTAGATATCTTCCTTTTCAATTGACTTCGTCAGTGACAGACCTCTAATGCACTAAAAACGTCATTCTTGCCAGAGCAATGTTTAATAAGAAGTATCGCAGAAAACATTGAACTTGGTCCAGCACGACGCGAGTTTTGCAGACCGCATATGCAACCGGTATTAAAGTATCGTGTCAATCTTTGTGGCATTTTAAAGTACAACTCGCAGCTTTGACTTGGCTGAGTAAAACAAGGAATGTTAAGTGGACCATGCCACAATGTTTGTAACGTGTGCTGTAAGTTGGCTGCAATGTTACAGCAGGCTCACTCAGCGAAGCGTTGACGGCTTGTCATGAAGGAACCCTCTTTTACGGGATAATGTTTGTGTTAGAACATTTCGCGCGGCTGAAACTTTGATTTCAAGATGCGATACTCGCGATGATAGGAGTACTAAAAGCAAAATAAGCAAGTGGGTGTGTAGCAGCTTTATTATTTTTTTTTTTAAATATATTTCTGGCATAGTTTATGCGATTGGGGAAGACGTTATGCAGCCTCTTGTCTTGCAGCAAACATACATTTTTAACACATATTATTATGGTAGATTAGAAATAAAATTTAGAAATATTCATACAAAAATTACATTGGTAATTGTTCTGGTTGGCAGTTTAATCACTCAAAAATGTTAACTAACGTTTTTTTTTCGTTTTTTTTTTTTTGTTTGAGGTAGTTGTAGATTGGTGCAAAATTTTACTTCATGGTATATTAAAGATTTGTTTAAAAAAATTAGATTGTCACCACCCTAGTTGACGTTTTAATCACTCCCGGAAATTTGAACACGGCATTTGTGTGTGTGTGTGTGTCGTGTGGGGGCGTGGGGGGGGGGGGGGGGGCAGTGTTGAACAACTGATTCCACATCAGTTGTTCAACAAGTCTGGTTCAAACAAAGCAATTGATTAAGCTACACGTCCTGCAGTCAGACCACTTTAGTAGCGTCCGATTTCTCACTTAGTTTGTTCAATGAGCCGTCTCCGGTGTTCGTGCTATCTGTCAAGTTAGGCGTCGCGCTGTGAGGGAAAACAAACTGAAGGACGCTCTGTAAGGCTAGGTCACTCATTGACGTTCGAGTGCGATCGATATTCCTGCAGCCGTTCAAGATAAACGTAAAGTATTGGGCAGGAAATCGAACTATAGGAGGAGCTTTATCGAGCTTCTTGTCCCCACAGCCCGGTGTTTACTAACACAAAATAACAAAGAAATTGAACCTCGCCATGCACGGTCTGGACACGAGCGCTTCACTCTTATCAGTGCTTTGGTTGCACGAGGAGCGGCCATTCGAATCGTCACCATCGATATCGCTGATCAAAAACAAACAAGGAAATTCACTTTGTTGTCCCCACAGCTGAAGCGTGCCGCCAGAGGCGTGACTGTTCGATCTCCTCCCCAATACGTGACAAAAAATTGACCATTGTTCTGGGAACGCGCGAGACACGTGTCGCGAGCGAATGCTCCGCCGCCATTTGCTTTCAAGGGCCGCACGAGGCACGGACCTCGCGCATTGGCGCATTTGACGCTGTACTTCGTCTCACATTTGTATTGACTATTGTTAGCCACGCGTGCTCAAAGCGCGAGCTAGTCGCTTTGAATGAAGCCGCGACGGCTGCACGAGCGCTCGTGCATCAAGCGCTCTAGTCGAGGCAGTCAAGGCTGACCGCTCGCGCTAGCACAGCCTTCGCGGTTAGTCCATGCTAGAGTGAGACGAAGTATAGACGCTTTCAGGCAGCTGTACATGGGCGCCGCCAAAACCGACCTTCAGTTTTTGTTCCCCCTTATTTCGTTCGCTCCACTTCGTCATTACCACAGCAGGACAGGTTATTGCCACTTTAAGTGGTATTGTGTCCTTCTCCCCAGCATAGGCCCTTGTGGAGACTCGTCAACGTCCGCTTTAGTGGCTCGGCATCTCGGTTAGACAAGAGAAGGTCGGCTATGACTGCTCTAATCTGGCGCGCGCTGGAAGCGTCTATATTTGTAAAGTGAACACAAACACATCAAGAGGCTTTGGACAAGAGAGCACATTGGCGCCATCTATCCAGTAGCCTTCGTACACCTCTTATCTGCGTAATTTCCTCTTTTTTAGGCATCATTCTTTCGTCGTGGGCTTGAAGTACATCCGACAGCGCTATACGCAACCATGCACCTCCCATAGAGAGCGCGTGGATTTGATTTTGCAAATACCGCAAAGCCTTCAGTCCAGTTTTATGCCGATTCATGACCTCCGAGATTTTTCTCGCGCTGGCTGTGCTCCTCAGGCCATTGTATTCGCGCGGCAGAGACTGTTAGTGGGGGGCGCTATATCCTCACCCTTATCGCCGGTTTGCGGAACTAAGAAGCTGCCAACGTTGGGGGCAGCGCGAAATGTTCTCCCCGCCTCTCGCCGCAACACACAGACCTTTGGCATGGAGGAAGTTGATCGAAATTTGAAGGTTTATATTTTACAAGAGCGAAAGGTGTAGAACAAATTCCTGCAATGTTGTTTTCAAACAAACTGCATGCCTAAAAATTTTAATAGAAAACAGGAAGGCAAGTCATTTAAAATCAGGAAGGCGAGTCAAAATATAGGTTAGCATTAAATAGTGAGAGCGATTGTGATACTGACAGTGATTTATTTCGGCTCAGGGGAGCCGCGGCGCCGCAGAAAAGCAAGTGGCCCGTACCGTGAAGGCCTGCGACGCCGCATCCAACGATTACGAGACGGTATTACACAGATGAATTTATAAAAGACACGGTGATGATGGTTTAAATGAAATTTGTGGACAAGGGTGAGGGGTTCATGTTGCGGTTGAAGAGGGTGGAGAGCGTTAGGCGTGCAGCGGTCTTAGCGAAGGTGCTCTTCGAGGTGCCATCGTGGGCTGCTGACTTCTAGTAGGCCGGTCTCATGCGCCTGGCGAGGGCTCTTTACGTGCACGGCTTGCAGACGAGCCGCCCAAATTTCCGGCGAAGCAGGGAGTCCAGCAACCCCGTGGTGGGGCTCCAGGGGTTGGCGCCGGTGTTAGCCGGGCGGCGGTCTCCCGAAAGCGGGCTCGGAAGTTCCCCAGCTTGCGGTCGAGCTTTTAACCGAGCAGTTTGGGCACCCTGTTGATCGAAGACACGGTGTGTGCCACTGGTCCGGTTGGCTCTCTGACGATGGGAAAAACACGTCTTACGTCCAGCTGGCTTCCTCTACTTCCGATCTTGCATTCTGAGGTATCATCCAGCGAAACAGCGCAGAGCAGCGAATAAAAGTATGAATCGACAGAGATGGACTTAGATTTCTTTATAATGATGATGAGAACAATGAAGATGCAAGCTTCACGCGGCGTGCTTTGAGGTGATTATGTTTCCGTTTCTGGTTTGGTTCTAAGCGCCACATGCGGAGATCTACTGGGTGATTCAAGGAGCGGCCAGGTTCTTTAAATCGACCGCAAAATTCGGTTTCTTGACCTATCACGCTCCGATTTTGTGCAGCGTTGCCCACATATGATGCATTTTTGTTGTAAAATTTGCAAAGAGCAAACTTACCTGAGGAAAAAATAGAGAGAAAAAGGCTTAGCTGCTATGGAAACGCAGCGAAGCCACCGGTCTCAGAAACAATACGGCACCGCTTCACACGGGAGACAAGAGATGGCGCAAGCGGTCGCGACTCCAACTGCCACCAACGAACGAGCACACGTCGCCGAGAGCCGGCGTCTTTAGCAGACAGACGTTTTGACTAAAACGCGGCGAGCGTTCCGCAGGCGGCGACAGTCGCAGAAACAAAAACAGGCGCGGTAACAACAAGGAATTGCAAAGCAGACATCAGTACCCCCGAAACAATCAGTCAAAATATCCCGACAAATCATTTTTTTTAGTAGATTCTCAGTCCATTCAATACGTTTTATTAGTAAGGATGTTTAAAATGATGCATTGGCAACTGATATCAGAAAAGCTCGCGCCTCTTTTGAGTCGAAACGATTGTCCGCTAAAGACGCCAGCTCTCCGCGCCGCATGCGTCGCGACCGCTTTCTCCATCTCTTGTCTCCCGTGCGAAACGGCGCCGTATTGTTTGAAGACCTTTGGCTTCGCCGCGTTTCCACAGTAGCTAAGCCTTTTTCTTTCTTTAGTTTTTCCTCGGGTAAGTTCGCTCTTTGCGAATTTTACAAAAAAAAAAAAAAAAATGCACCATTTGTGGGCAACGCTGCACAAAGTCTTAGCGGGATAGGTTAAGAAAAAGAATTTTGCGGTCGATTTAAAGAGCCTGCCCGCTCCTTGAATCACCCAGTAGAGAAGTGACTCGGTTCGCTTTTTCTGCTAGGCAGGCAGCCGAGCGTTTGGACAGGCCGGAGCAGCGCGCGCGAAAAATCTCGGAGGCCACGGCCCATTGAAAGTGTTTCCTGGGCTACCTTACAGATGGCGCCAGTGTATTCTCTTCGAAAGCGGCCACAGACCGTCGTAGCGCATTCGACCAGGCTCAAGTGTAAATCAGTGAACCAGCCTTTCCTATACTTTGTTGTATTCGAAAATATCGATAAAGTTTTCCGAGCCACGCTCATCCATTAGTCAGCCCAAGAAAGAGGAAAAGAGGGATTTCGATGGAGGCTGCCGAAAGACGAAATCCATCCGGCGATGACTAATACGTGATGCACACGCTTGGGCGGAATAGCAAATTCGCAAGCGAAGCCGAGGCCGACCGCAAACGTGCCTTGGGGGCTTCCGGCGGAGACGGCGACGCCTTCTTTCCCATTCTCGTTTGTTTACCTCATCGGACAGAC